GGTCTTGCTTTGTGACCGTACTGGTCTGTGTAAACTCATGTACAATACAGCCAAACTTCCGAACAGAAAGTAGTATAAAGGCAAATTTAAGAGCAACAAAAATACATTTAATAGAACCAGACATGTTTCTTTGTATTCAATACGACATCTTCAGTGTAACAAAACCAAAAATTCAGATATCCTGAGGTTTATATACCTTTGCCTATAACTTATGCACATTATTTTTTGAATACATAGTAGTTAGTAGTAGTGAATACATTTCAAATAAATTGAGACAAATCAACCACCTCGTTTTTTTTTTTATTGAATATATATATTTGCCTATGCAGCACAACCACTGATTTTTATTACTATATATATATACTATATATATATATATATATATATATATATATATATATAGGCCTATGTGACACAGACAAAAAAATTAATAATTTGTCTAAATATATATATGACAAAGACAAAAATTAATAATTTGTCTGGTCTATAAAGGAACGTATACTTACAAATCTAAGATGGTGTTCAACTCTACAAATGCATCAGGATCGATGTATAAGATTCGGTTACTACTGAGATCCCTAAAAATATATGAACTACTTTGTCATTTTACACATTAACTATACTTGCTACTACAAAATGTGAAATTTTGGACGATTCTTATTGAAAATATTCAATAAGCCTCTCTGTATTTTATATATACGATGAAGATCTGTTTTATTTAGTATCTGATCATTATTGTTTGCTTTTGTACATAGGCCTGTTAATTTAATAACAAGTATATTAATTTTACTTAAATCATTAATTTATTATTTTACATGGTTGTGTTATAGTTGTCCTACACATATTACCGTATATATCATATATTAATACATTATTATATTATTTATAATCCTTTTTGATAATGTTAAACTGAATGAGTGCGAATCAAAGAAAGGTGGTTTTAAATTCACGATTATTTGATTGATTTATTATTTTTCATGGTTGCGTTATGGTTGTCCTACACATATTATATATATATTTAATATATTATTATATTATTTATAATCGTTTTGATAACGTTAAATAGGAAGGAATAGAATAGGAATAGACCTATGACTTAGATGTACGAACACGTGTAGTCAATTCAAAGTTAAATATATTTTGTCTGAAATTAACTTACAATGTATCCAAAAAGCTTCCGTTAATTACTCTAGCTGGAATCGTGACTATTTGACTGCGACTTAATTTTCTGTGAAAAATTCGAAATTGAAATAGTGTACACAGGACTCTTATTATGGAAAACTTGAATCAAATTGCAAAAAAAAAAACAAAAAAAAACAAAAACAAAAAAACAATATATGGAAAAGGCATTCTCTTACATTACACTGCCAGACGGAATATTGTTGAAAGTCAATGTGGACAAATTGGTAATTAACGAGTTTCCGAGGTATCTTAAAAAAAAAACAAACGTAAAATTAAAAGTAAAATGTCAATGCGTAAAAAGATACTTATACATGCGTACTCGATGTAGCATCAAATACGCATGCTTATCAGTGTATATTAAATAGAAAATCATAGACATGCGTACTTTATGTAGCATCAAATACACATGTTTATCAATGCATACAAACACATCTTTTGACGTATGCCACCATTTGTGTTTTGAGTATTTCCGATTAATGAAGATTAGTTGCAATGTTCGGCTACTGTATACAGTAACATAACTATTTAATTATTGTTAGCTAATAACGTTTTCTTACAGATTAGTTAAGTACAGTTTAAAAAAGTAGGCATTAGACCAATTAACTCACATGTTCTTTTTAACATCACCAGACATATATAACGAATTCTCCGACAATGCTTGCATTTTTGTTTTTTTAAGATCCCTATAATACAATAAATAATAATGGTTACCAGCCTACATGACAAATAACTCTAAAACTAAATTTATTAAATAGTTAGCTATATTTCAACTAAGGCAAAACTTTAAATAATAGGCCTGTAAAACTTGTGTTTCATATGCCAAAGAGAGTTGAAAAAGTCGTTTGATAAGTTGATGTGATTATTATTAAATTTAACAATATGGCGGTGCAGTTTAGCAATCGAGAGGTCAGGGTTTCGATAAATCATTATCATTCGTGATCGCTTCAGTTACCTGTATCATTAACGTTATCGTTGACGTCACAAAATACTTACAGAAAATAGAGATATATGAGGGGTGCAAACGTGTATGGTTCAATAACCTCCAAAGGATTATCATCAATCTCCCTGAAATTAGAAATGATAACTTTAGAAAATTCTGAAATAAAAAATTGAACCGGGGTCTACACAACAAGAAGCAAGGCAACCGCTAAGCTGAACTCGGATACAACTAAGCGTTTTGTTCAAGCTTTCACTGCAGCACAAATCGGGAAAAAACAGACCCCCTTCAACTGCTGTGACCGGGCTTGTCTGTCCCCAACGAGCATTACAGTAGAACTCTTAATCTTCATTCGTCAAGTCAAACAAGATAATGATAAAAAAAGTTATTTTTATGATCAATGATAAGCAATATAATTAGGTTTATTTTTTTTTCTAATCAATGACAAATTGCTGATTATATGTTCATATTCAATGAGAAATTATGAATTTTCTCGTGTTAAAAAGCTTAGCCCCATACTAAAATATTAAAACTATAATTACTTACAAATAACTAATCATTAAGACGTCCTTGAATGTCGTATTTTTTAGAACAGTTATTTTGTTACCACTCAAATATCTAATGATAGAAAGTCAATTAATACGATTTTAGTAAAATTAAATATAATATGAATATACAAATTTCCATAATGTTGAGTTGAAATGCAAGATAGGCCTATATTAAACTTACACGTCAAATCATATTTTATGTAGGGCCTACTACCACGCCTTATGGGTTTGTTTATTAACATTGGTAAGCCTGTAAGAAAAGGAAAATTTGGATTACGCCGCCGCCGTCGACCCACGGTTGGTGCAGAACAATGCTTTCATGGTCAGTACACCGATAGATAATCCCCTACAGATTTCCAAAATTGTACTGAGTGTTTTTTTTTCGTGCTTAAATACATGCTATTATGCACACGAGACAACGGCTTTACGGCCCCCATCCCCGATAGCCTGGGTGCAGTAGGAAATTAGGGGGAAAAATTAAAGGAATTTTTTTTTGTGGTTTTTCTGAATCAGTATATCAGTGTCTCAGAAAAAATCCCCATTCTTAGAGCTTGGGCAATTTTTTTTATAGCACTTTAAAATTTTGACATAAAATATCCTATTTTGGGCTAATTAAGAACAATCCTATTTCTGGACTCCGGGTAAAGGAAGAAAATTATGGCATTATTTTAGTCACTTCTAGTTTTACTATAAATGTGAAAATTGACAATTAACTAGTTACTCTTTACTGTCTTTAAAAAATTTGATTAAAACAATCATAATGCCAAGTTCCAAGATGGCGTTATCTTGGCGGAAAAATGGTTATTTTTGTAAGATTATTATTATTATTATTATTGTTCTCAAAGCAATGTACACATATATAATATATATTTATTATTATTTTAATAGTAGTATTATGCTTGTTTATTATTATTATTGAAATCATTATTATTATTTATACTGTATACTATATATTACTGTATTGTATTCTTGTTATTTAAAAAACTACGGTATATTTTATTATTAAAATGAATTACATTGTTAGTACTGTTATATAATATTATTTATAATATTATTATTACTACAATTGACATCATTACAGTATTATCATCATCCGTCATCATCATCCTCATCCTATTCATCATCGTCATCATCATCCTTATCCTATTCATCATCGTCATCATCATTCTCATTGTTGTCATCATTACCATCATCATAATCACGTCATACTCATCCATTATCATCCATCGTCATCGTCCTCATCTTCATCACGTCCTCATCAGTCATCTATCGTCGTTATCATCATCCTCATAATCTTCATCCTCCTAATCCTTCATCATTTTCTTCATCATCATCATATTCATCCTCATCCTCATCACCATCAATGCCGTAACCAGCTTTTGGGACTGTTGCTCATATTTAGCTTAAAATGGGTAAAATATAAGAAAATGGGTCCGGATATTTCATATTTTTGCGTAAAATGTGTCCGCATTGTTTAAATTTACACGTAAAGTGGGTCCACTCTGATATTGTCCCGCACTGTTTGAAAATCCTGGCTACGGCATTGATCCTCATCCATCATTGTCACACTCATCACCCTCCTCACCAATCATTGTTAACATCATCAACATCACCTTCATCCTACTAATCATCCTCATCCATCATTTTTTAAATTTTATTTCATCAACTAAATATGAATAACATTGGACAAAACATTTTGACGAAAACACATAAGAGAATCACAGAAAATGTCAATAGAAAAATCAATTTTACATAAAGAATTGTATAACTTAGGCAGAAGATTGATAAACCCATTATTAGTAACGTTGACTCTCCCCCCTGGAATTGAAAAAAGAGCTAGATTACGTAATTGATATTGTGGTACAGAAAGAGGAAAATGAACTGCAAAATTTCCATCGTAGATTGCATTCATACATTTAAAAAAAATAAATCAAAAAGTCAGCTAATGGGGTTAAGAAATCATAACTAACAAAACCAAATTTGTGAGAATAAAATCTAAAAAACTTATTTTGAACACGTTGTGTTCATCATCTTCATCATCATCATCATCATCATCATCATAATCATCATCCTTGTCCTCATCATCATCAACCTCATCCTTATCCTCCTTACCATCATCACTTATTTCATCATCATTCTCATTACCATCCTAATTGTCATTGTCATTATCATCATCATCCTCATTACAATCATCATCTATCATCAACCATCATCATCATCCTTGTCCTCGTCATCATCAACTACATCATCATCATCCTTATTACCATCATCCTCATTCTCGTCATCATTCTTATCCTCATCATCATCCTCTTTATCATCATCAATCATCATCCTCATCATGAAGATGATGAGGAGGAGGACGACAACAAGAATGAAGATGAGGATGAGGGGCAGAGGGATGTTTCTCATCATTCATCATCATCAAACTCATCAACATCATTCTCATCAATCATAGTCATCATCATCCTATCTTTTTCATCATCAAACTCATCATCCTAAACCCACAAGTGGCAAAGACACAATACTTTGAAAGCGTCATGGAGTGGCAAAAGAGGTCAGAGAACTTCTGTCGCCAAGAGGCGTGCCCCTACAACACTCAAGGCCAACAAAAAAACATGCAATAAAATATAAAAATATACAATATCTAAAAATTAAATAGGCTTGTATCTTCAAAATATCTTTAAAATTAGACTCCCATTGTCCGATGCCACGACGAGGTCGCCACTCCACAAATATTGGTTTGCCTATCCATATAACATTATTTTGATTGCAAATTCATAATATTTTGGCTTAAAGGCAACATTTTGGGCCATACTAAGCTAAAAAAAAACTCTCCAATGAAAAAACTGTGACTAAAAACATAAGTATGTTTCCCATACCCCGATCTAAAAATTGGTATTTTAAAGCAATATTTCACTCTTCCGTTTTCTTTCATTGGGTTTACTTTGTAGTAATTCATTAATTATATATATGTTTTATTGTATTCCTGTATGTATAATATTGTTTTGAGATTGTGTTTGTACTTTGACAACAATAACATTATTTTTACATTCAAAACATAGTTTTTCCCGACATAATGGACACCATCTTGGAATTTGTCATGATGACGTCATCATTCCGATTAATTTTTTTAAATGAGATTGATGTGTAACTATTTAGCGAAGTTGTTGTTATATTTCATATCCACAGTATACGTAAAAGTGACTAAAAACAAATTTATTTCCCCTACCCTCATCTTAAATATTTTAAAATAGGGTATTTTAGGCCAAAATTTCAAAGTGCTGTAAAAACAATTGCCCAAGCCTTAGGCATGAGGATTTTTTTTCTGAGACACTATATGGTATGCTGATTTTAAAAAAAATAATTTTACTTTACCTTTTCCCGCTAAAGTTCATTTCAGCAGTTTTACAACGAGGCTACGAAGGACGACGTAATTAGAGCAAATATATATATATGGTAGGCATTGGGTGGTTTTGACTCAGCTCGTCTCGCACAAAAATTGAATCTGCGCTAACTCACCCTCTATTTTCTTGCTAAGTAGGTTTATAGTGTAATGATTTCATATTTGTGTTTTCGAGTAGGCCTAGGTTAGCTGACGTGTATGAGTGAAAGAGTTATAAGCTAAAAAATCCCGACTAACTTCCCGTTACACGAATAGTGAAATACTTGATACGTGTTTTTTTTTTTTATTTATTTGACCAATAATACAATACAACAAATTTTGGGAAGGGCCAGCAAAGTTTTACTATAACTCATTGAGAGTCAGCTGCCCCATTAATTAACATTAAAAAAAACCCATTAAGACACAATTATAGAGTATAAACAGGCCTATCTTAATTCTATGGTTCAAACTTTTTCTTATAAATAATAACTCCCCGACACCTGAAAACAATATATGAATGTAACTTACACCTGACTAATGCGAGATAAATTGGCAAAAGCTCCATCGATGGACTGCAACTCGTTATGCTCGGCGTATCTGCATAATTGAATGTAATCGATTGAAATAAG